GATTACAGGGCCCACGGTACGACCCATAATCAAGCCAACAAATTCAAAAGAGACAGGTTAGGAAAATTAGGCTATAATAAGAATATAAGATTGAAAAACTTAGGAAATAATCGCGAGGTCAGTAACTATAACGGATTATGGCAGACAGGTAATAAAAGCACGTGCGCTGCTGATGATGAGACAAACAGATTAGAAGTAAAAGGGTTAAAAGATAGGAATCCCATGAAACGGTTTAATAAAAGCTACATTAACGAAGTAAATGCGGTAACTGTAAACGGGGCACACGGTCAATGCTTTAAAGAAGAAGAGAACATAGAAACACGTAAGAAGTTAATAACGACTAAAGTTAAGTCGGAACAAGAAGAAGATGAAGATGGTTGTTTAGCAATGGAATGGTTATGGGAAGTAAACGCGATAGAAGTAAAAAGGCTAGATAGCAATAGCACACATAGGAAAGTAGAGAGGGTAGGGACAATTAAAGAAAGAAATCAGCAGGATTGGTCTTTTAGACAGGTGATGCCTACAGAAGAAGAAGGTGAAGGAATAAATACATTACCGTTTGTAGTTAGTAACATAAAGGTAGACCTATTCTCAGAAAACTACGACGCAGATAGTGAAATTGGGATCACAAACAAAACGGGTCGTAGAATTTTAGTCGCGGTTAGAACCAGGACTAATACTCCGTCTAGTGTGAAAGAATTAAAACCGTCAGAAGTACCAGTTAAAGGTACATGTAATAGTAGAAGAGAAGAAGAAGAAACAGTAGAAACTTCGCCCAACAAAAGAGCAAAAAATGAGACAAGAATGTCGGGCATTGAAAATTCGCATACCGATTTAAACGAGCGGCATGGTTTACAGGAAAATAAAGATGCGAGAAAATCAAATGTATTAGATGGAAATTTACACGGAAATAAAAGTAGCCAGAAGTGTCGTAATGAAGTGGCATCTACCGAATATAGCAAAATTAATAAGATGTTCCGATTTATTGCTAACTTATCATTTAAGAAAAGAAAAAACACAGATCACTAATAAGACAGAAGAAGAAATAGAACTAGAACAGTTAGCATCCACTACAGTTAGTAGGCCAGAATCATCAGGGACTGAATGTGGGAGACTGAATTAACAAGTATACATTCATTACAATTTAGTACGCTATATTGCCATACATTATCGTTTTTGTAGCCCGGACAAGTGAAAATCCCACACGTAGCCAGTCTCAAAGCATGACATGATTGGGTACACAGTTAGAATTGGCGATAGGTCCAAAGGCTATTTCTTTAGGCATTTCTTTACAGAGATGCGATATGCATTAAACAGAGGAAGCAAACTCTTAGGGAAGCAACAATAAACGCTGTGGACTATCACAGTAGTTAAATACCTGTAAATACAGGTGGTGGCATTGTACATTCGACTTGAGGAAATGCTACTATTGTTTCCGAGAAATTTCTCTCCAATTAATATACCTAACGGTATAAGAATTATTTATACTCTGTAAAGGTTATACCTTATTATTCAATCTATGTTGACTTTCTCAGAGATTCTATTTTCATCCTTTCTTGGGGAGATGACATTTTCGAGTTTTATTTTATTGATAACTGGGGATACATGGCATGTCATTTCTTGTATACAAAGTTTTCAGGCTTGAGTTTATAAAGTGGGAATACAGATACTATTCCTTTATACTTCAGACAACTTTGCACATTCATTAGGGATACCAGTGAATAAGAGGTTGTTATGCTAATACAACGAGGGCGTTGTATCGCTTTTTTTTTTAATGTCTTTAGAATTATTGACTATTAGTTATTGTATGCATGTCACGTTTTCATTATACTGCATGAATTTTATGATGTTACATGTTATGTTGTATGCTTTCATTACGTGGCTAGATGTTCACATAAGGTTTAGTTAGGTAGCGGGTATAATTAGAGTAGTTTTTATAAAATTGAAGATAGGAAACAATTTTGTTAAAAAGTGTGAAGGGCGAATGTAATGAAATATAGGTAGAAAGGGGTTAAATGAACAAGCATACATTTCAGACCACCACACGGCGTACTAATCCATCACTGTGTGAAATGACAGAAATAGGTGATTAGAAAGCCATGGCCTAGCCAGCTATGCAGAACACACCGCCATGACATCTGACAGTGAGGGATGAAACATTCGACGAGTGCCCGTGAACTGTGACCAGCTGATGAGATACGTTCATCCAAACGTGACCACCAAAGACAGGTGACAGAGAAGTGATGGAGAAGGTACGCCAGAAAGAGCGGGAAAGCGGGGGAATAAAGTTAGCCCCGGGACCGCTTGAGAGTTAGTTAGTCCCGGAACCGCTGGAGAGGACGGTTAGCCCCGGAACCGCCATGAGAAGACAGTTAGGGCTAGACTGCTTGAGAGACCAGTTGAGAAAACTAGTGCTGTACTTCGTCAGAAGGTATATGTTAAACTTGGAGTTTAGCTAGAACAGTGAGTTAGTCCCGAACCGCTGGAGAGGACAGTTAGCCCCGGAACCGCTGGAGAAGGGAGTTAGGGCTAGACCGCTAGAAAGACCGGTTAGGAGAAAACTAGTGCTTTACTTCGTTTAGAAGGTATATATTAAACTTGGAGTTTAGCCAGAACAGTGGTTAAGGAACTCGTAGAGGCATACGAATAGCCAGTAATAAGGAGTGTTCATATACTATTGCGTATTGAATTTATGAAATGTGTGTGACGAGAATATTATGAATAAACCAGCTCTTATGTAATTGATTACATCACTGGCCTTGTTCTTGAGTACGATTGAAGAGAGATACGAACTATATTCATTCCACTTGGCCGACTTAGGCACATCTATTTCTTGGGGGATGTATAGGCACGACTGTGCCACAACGTTAAGTGGCTACTGGTGCAGTTCCGAGAAGTAAAAGCGACCGGTGTGATGCTGACCACATCACCCATCTTGTGCCGATAGATCTTTAAAAATATAGGTCTAGCCCTATATGCCTTACAAGCCTAGAGGCGTGGAAAAGGGACTTTTACTTTATTTTTACCCTGGCATTGGCACTGGCCCTAATATAACCTAACTTTTAAATGGTGTTTCCGGGGCCTCTGCGAGGGTGATCTTTATTCACATGGTGGTACTTTGTGACACCGGGTGTTTATCACTCTGTGTGATGTCCTAGTGGGGTAAAACTTACTTACCATCCCACTACTGTCTGTTCCCGTTGTTGCGGAGTCTATTATCCTCCTCTTTCTAATCACACTTTGTTATGTTGGGAGGTTTTAGAAATATACGCAAGGGGTCTTGTAAAAGACCCTAAAGGGGCCCAAGCTGAAAAAGTTTGGAGATCACTGTATAGAAGCTCGCCTGATTAGTGGCACTGCACGGTCATGTGGTACCCCGTGGGGATTGGTTTTCTTTTTAAACCACACACACACACACTTTCTCAAACAATTTGTGTTGTTGTTCTTTCTCTTCGCCCTCGGTGTCGTATGCTCAGGTCAGACCGCCAGGTGGGCTGCCTGTGAATTCGAATGTCCGTTTCTGTTTCTTAAAAACATATTGCTGCCATTTTGCCTTCCCCCAGAGTGTTAAGTGTCGGCCAGATCCCTGGTCACTCTTTCCCCGCCCCTTCCGTGCCGTTCTCCGCATACACTGAACTGTTTATGCTTCTGCACTGTTCGCTCAGAATTGGTAGAATCGTCAGATGCAGGGTACACTCAGTTATGCTGTGTGGCGGGAAAAAAAAAACCTGGACAATGAACATCTAACTAGAAAGTGTGGGGATTTGGATACACAGAAGAAAAGGTCGTATTCATGGAAACAAAAACAGTCAAATATAGAGATTCTGGGGAGACTGAGAATTAAAAAGAATCACTAAAAGAAATGAAATAATATAAAAGAGGATCACTGAAATATTTCAGCTACATTACAAAACAACTTCTTCTTTTTCAGCATTCCGAGCCCTTGAGGTTCATTGCTGCAGATATTACCCGCCTCCATTCATCTCTCTGGTTGGCCTTTTTTTCAGTTGGTGACACCAAGTGTTTGCAGGTCTGTCAGGATATTATCTCTTCATCGTCTTCTTGGTCTGCCTCGTGGAGGGAAAGGTCGAAGGCAAGAAAGCTCAAGGTAGTCAACGAAAAAAAAACACACGAAGAGATGGATAAACAGCAGTTTGAGAAAGTGTACTAACACGACAAGAGGCAGAGAGTGTCGGAGATTTACTGCAGCCAACCGTCATAGTTGAGACGGCTCCTGGCTGATCCACTGTTCGCTCTCTCTCAAGTGGCCTTGACCACATCTAGGACAACTTAAGTGATTCTGCTATACAATGATTTGGATCCTCGACGGTGCTAGCAAATTGTGCGCTATGCTGATATTGCCCTAGTGTGGTCTAAAGGTGTAGAACAGTTTGAAGCTATTGAACTGAAATGCTGCGTATTCTTAGAATACCATGAACCAAGAAGAAGAAAACTACCTACGTCCTATGTGATCTGAGCGTCGAGAAAAACTGACTCATAAACAGCATCCTGTCCGGAAGTCTGGCGTATTGTGGTCACGTTAAACGTCATAGTGACCTGGAAAGAACAGTATGGTGGTCACGTTAAACGTCATAGTGGCCTGGAAAGAACAGTGATGATGGCTAACGTGGTCGACACTCCTGAACGTCGATACAAGACAGTAAAGACGCATTTGCCACGAACGCACATAGGGCTAGATACCTGGCTAGAGAAGGAGACTACAGGCGTGCCCTGACGAGAGCGACGTTATGCGAAGGACATGCAGATTTATGAGATGATCTAGACTGGATGATTTATAGAGAAATCTGCTAGTAAGGAAATCAATTTGAACCAGAAATAAGAAGTGTGCATAGTTAGTTAGTTAGTTAGTTGGGTTATGATCATTGCACTCCGGACATGTCCATAGGTGCTCAGATCCCCCCCCCCCTCATTATGAACCCCAACGTCCGATGGCTAATAGCACCAGTTCTATGTTGATTAAGAAGTGTGCATAAACTTACCCAAACTGGCGCTCACAATTCTCAGCTCCGTAGGCGTGTCAATCTCCGCAAGGCGGCCATTGATTGTTTTGCAGGCGTGCTGCGAAATTTAACACTTTACATGAGACTGAGACAACTTTTAACACTTTACATGAGACTGAGACAACTTTTAACACTTTACATGAGACTGAGACAATTTCTAACACTTTACATGAGACTGAGACAACTTTTAACACTTTACATGAGACTGAGACAACTTTTAACGCTTTACATGAGACTGAGGTAACTTTTAACACTTTACACGAGACTGAGACAACTTTTAACACTTTACACGAGACTGAGACAACTTTTAACACTTTACATGAGACTGGGACAACTTTTAACTTTTTACATGAGACTGGGTTAACTTTTAACACTTTACATGAGACTGGGACAACTTTTAACACTTTACATGAGACTGGGACAACTTTTAACACTTTACATGAGGCTGAGACAACTTTTAACACTTTACATGAGACTGAGACAACTTTAAACACTTTACATGAGACTGATACAACATGTAATACTTTACAAGTCGAAAGCATCTTTTAACACTGTGCATGCAACTGAGGCAACGTTTAACACTGTACATGAGACTGAGGCAACTTTTAACGCTTTACATGAGACTGAGGCAACTTTGAACGCTTTGCATGAAACTGAAGCAACTTTTAATGCTTTGCATGAAACTGAGGCAACTTTTAACGCTTTGCATGAAACTGAGGCAACTTTTAACGTTTTGCATGAAACTGAGGCAACTTTTAACCCATTACAACAGACTCATCATCATCATCATCATCATCATCAACATCATCATCAGATGCCCTGCCGAGTGGCGTGGGCGTTCATACCTTTCCACAATCCGCGATCTCCTGCAGCATGTATCAGTTCGTGGGCTGACACACCTGCATGCCATTCATCATCATCATTATCATAAATTTCCACTTCTGCCGTTAAGCGTTGTGGGGAGGAACAGTTTTGCGATTCATTGTTTGGTGCAAAGCAATGTCTATTGTCCTTTTTGCAGAAGGTCTTAACCTCATCAGTCAATTTTTTTCTTGGGGCAACCTCTTGTTTTCACATCAGATCATTTCACGTAGTGAAAGATACTAAGAAAAAAAAAGAACTACTGACATCCCAAGGGTCATTGAACTAGGTTAACCCAGCGGCCATAATTTTTACCAGAGGTCTGGGCCGCAGGAAAGAAAGATCGTTAAATCAATACAAATGGCAGTAGTCCGCGGGCCAGGTTTAGTCTGCGGGCCGCCAGTTTAAAATGCAATTTTTTTTTTCTACTTTGATATACGAGGAAAAAAAAATACAATACCTCAGCATCGAAACTGTTGAGATCCAAATATGACAGATAGTACAGCCCGGGAGAGCCACGTCTTGCTCCGACGTCCACAAAGAGGGAGT